AGTCCCCACTTGGTACTCAACAGCAACAACAGCTTGCTCACTACAGAATGTGTGCAGTATGAAGTTCTCCTATTCCTCCATCTTTCACAGCTCTCAGGTGACTTTGCACTTGCTCCTGGCCCTGCTTATTCCCAAAACCAACCAATCACTTGCAATTTTGACACACTGCTTCCCCTTCTTCACCTCAGAAGCTTCTCTGAATCCTGTTCCTCACATCATGACCCAGGATCCTCCTGCTTCCCTTTGGAAACCTCCAGCCTTCCTGCTGCTTGCCTGGCCCCAGCCAGGCCAGCCTGGTGGACAGAGGATGGTGAGAAATAGTTCTTTTAAAGTCAAACCACCACTCATTTTAGTGCTATTGTGTTTTAATGAGTATTTGTAAACTGTATGACCTCTATAAAACTGTATACATGCATACCATTTTATTATCGCCTCTTCTGAGACAGAGTAGGTATTGGACTATTTTAGTTCTCAGTTATGAGAACTGAGGGACAATGTAACGAGAGGAGAAAACATGCTGGCAGGCTTATCATCAGCCCATCACGGTGATATGGTCTATAGAATGAGCTAATGCTTTTTAAGAAACTCCCTGAGCATTTCTTCCAGGAGAGGAATCCCTGATGGAAAGATGGGTATCTGTGTTCATGGAGGGACCATGAGGGGAGGTCAGTCAGTCCTGATTCCAGCCACAAGTATCAAGCTTATACCTTTTCACTCCACCTTGGTCAACTATGAGTGTTCAAATGAAAAGATCTAATTTTTCAGAGAGATCCTCCATATTATTACAGAGGAATATGGCTTCTTTAACAACTGAACCTCAGTTGTTTCCTCAGGAAATTTAAGTTATGTGTATTCATGGATAGATTTTTCTGTCAGCATTTCTATTTTCTTTTTGGGCAATCAAATTATTTCTCAATCATTTCCAAGCCTAACCTTTTGGATTCTCCTTCTCCAGCACCATATTGGGCAAACTCATTGGCATAGCATTCAAGATCCTTCACTAACTGAATTCTATTCTTCTAGTTTCCTATTCTAGCTTCATCTTTGCCCTCACCTTGTCCCCTTATATATCACGTGATTCAGTCACAGTAATGTCTCCCAATTCCTAGTCATGCCCTTTGCTAATACTGTTCCCTTTGCCTATAACCTCTCTCCTGATATATTTGTCTTGCCAGCTTCTAGTCATCCCTTGTTGTTGTTGTTGTTGTTATGTGCCATCAAGTCACCTGTGACTCATAGCGACACTATGTTTTCTAACCCTGCTCTATCTTCAGGCAATTTAATGGTCTCTGACACACCTACTCCCATTACCCTAGTCAGAGTCAATCCATCTCATACAGGATCTTCCTTTTTGTACTGTCCCTCCACCCTTCCAAGCATGATGTCCCCCTCCAAGGACTGGTCCCTCCTGGCAACATGCCCAAAGTATGTGAGACAGATCCTCAAAATACTTGCCTCCAAGGAGCAGCCTGGTTTCACCCTCTCTAGGTTGGACCTGTTTGCTCTCTTAATAGTCCGTGGTACATGTTATACTTTTCTCCAGTACCACAACTCAAAGGCATCGATTCTTCTTATATCATCCTTAGTCACTGTCTGGCCTACTGATGTGTAGCAAGCAATTGTGAAGACCATGGTCTAGATCAGGCACAGCCAGTCTTTAGACTGACATCATTGCTCTTCAGTACTATGAAGAGGTCCCTGAAAGCAGACTTCCCAAATGCAATTCATCCTTTGATTTCCTGGCTGCTACTACCAAGAGTGCTGACTGTAGAGCCAAACAAGCTGAAGCTGTTAACAATCTCAGTCTCCTCTCTGTCTATCATGATGCTGCCAATTTGTGCAGTGGTGAGAATCTTTGTTTTCTTGATGTTGGGCTTCAATCCATATTGAAGGTGGCAGTCCTTGACCTTCTGCAGCAAATGCCTCAGATCCTCCCCAGTTTCAGCAAGGGAAGTGATGTCATCTGCATAACACAGGTTGTTGATGAGTCTACCTCCAATCCTGATGCCACACTTCTCCTCATAGAGCCCAGCCTCCCTGATAATCTGTCTGTGTCTAGATTGAAAAGGTATAGGGAGACAGGATGCATACCTGACATACTCCTTTCCTGATTTTGAACCATGTAGTGTTTTCTTGCTCTGTTCTGATGACTGCCTCCTGGTCCAAGTATAGGTTTTGCATGAGCACAATCAAGTGTTCTGGGATCCCCATTCTTCAGCAAGGATTTGATAAAACAACATAAATAATGGCATTATATAATTGTAATTAATGTTACAAAACAAGTATATGAATGACAGAATGAAAATAATTTTTTTCCTAAAAGAACAAGCTCAAATGTTCTCTACTCATAAGTTTTCATCTTACATAGTCAATTTTCTTGTTTAATCTCACAGAATATGACCCATACCTTAGGTTTATTATGAAGACTAGTTTGTGAATCCTTGAAGAGTTTGTCTTTATAGATCAGATTCTCCTGGTATGTGGTGTATATTCACCCAAGAAGTGTTTGTTGAAAGAGTGAAAAATAACAGGAAGGTAATGTAAGTGTCTTTTGAAAATACCATGTATAGGTATTTTACCAATGTCATTGTTAATTCTCATACCAACCTTGTGAATCAGATATTTTGACCTTTAGGGACAGAGAGGTTAAATAATTTGCTAAAAGCCACTGAGATAATAACTGAAGAGTGAAAACTTGAGTCTAGGTCTGTTTGACTCATTCAGTAGGCAAAACTGGTGCCTGCTCCTCTGACCAGCCTTGGCCAACTTCCCTTCTGAATGCTCGGAGATTCTGAGTGCTCCGCCCTCCCCCCATTCTCTGCAGTTCTCTCCTGTTGAAGAAATCCCGGATAAGAATGAACACAGAGCCCAAGCAGTGTCTTCTTGGGGCCCTGGCTTTGGGCTTCCAAATAAAAATACCCTTTCTACAAGGGAAGCAACACAGTGTTCCCTGGCTGCACTCTCCTTCAGAGACTCTGCCAGCTCACACGGTCTCATGTGCAAAGCCAAGAGAAGGAAAGGATGCAAGTGGAAATGGAAAGAGCTGGTTCACTGAAAACCGGGATTTGGAGACTTCTAGACAGCGCTGTGCGAGACCCACTTAGAGTATAACTTGAAAGGAGACAGCCTCCTTCTTACCTTGCAAGAAAATCAACACTTGCACATGGATAACTCAAGAACACAGCGCAAGCGTGGGCTCCATGGCTCCAGTCCATTGACAGCCCCCAGGCCATGACTGCAGCAGGGCCACTGGAGGTAAGAACTCAAATGCCCAGGGGCTTTGAAAAGACATGGCCCTCCAGACAAAGAGGCAGTGGGAGCAACCACTACCCACTACTGACTGCTCCACAGCCACAGGAAGCCCCACCAGCTGTGGGAGATGATGGTGTGACGTGCTCTGGAGCAACAGGAGTTGGTGTCTTTGGCACAGACTGTGTAGTGCATATAGTGTGCCTGGTAGCAGTGGGCACATGTCAGTAAATGGGAAATTAAAGGCTGAGGGGAAAAGAACAGATACCACATCAAGCTGATGAAGAAAGATAGGCAAAAACTCTTAGATGGTCTCTTAGATAAAACTGGGAACAACTTTGAGATAAAAATGCTGTAGTAACATGTAGGTAAAAGAACCAGAGAGATAATGTGTATTCCGTTAATGTCCACTTTTCCCCTGTCCATTTAGGAGTGACAAAGTACAGATTTAGGGGAGTATCTTTAAGAATTTTACTGTATACCTTATGTTGCTTTTGTTTAATTTAATTATTCAACAAATATTTATTATACCTCTGGTATGATTTTAAGGTGGTCTGGTGGCACAATATATTATGTGTTGTGTAGCTAATTGAAAGGTCAGAAGTTTGAATCCATCAAATGCTCTATGGGAGAAAAATGGACGGTTTCCTCCTATAAAGATTTACAATGCCAGAAACCCACTGGAAGGTCAGTATGAGTCAGAACTGAGTTGGCGGCTGTGAGGTTTTGGGTTTTTATATGGTTTTATAATTCATACTCTATATTTTATGAGTATACCAATTATTCTACAATTTCCCAAGACAAAATCCAATTGTCAGGTCACCCTGTATGTTTCAGAGTAAAATTACACTCCATGAACTCTTCAATGGCTGTGACCTTTTGGAAATAAGTTGCCAGAATTTTCTTCTAAGTCTACTTTGAGTAGATTTGAACCTTTCTGTTAGCAAAGTGCTTGACTGTTTGTGCCACTAAGAATTAATTCCTTTACTAACATATTATTTTGAATGTTACTTACTTATGAAATGTGAAATAATACCTCAAAATCAAGGAGCAGACAATAATTTTATCCTGTTTTAAAAAACTTTTACTTTAAAATTCCACAATTTCCCTTAAACAGCACACCTTTATCAAATGAACAAGTTACCTTTATTGAATTGCCAAAACTACAACTGTAGGACGGTGACTTAATATCAGCACTGGGTCAGCACTGCTTCTCCTCCTTGTTTCTGTTCCCTCCACCAGCCGGGGCTGGTTGTGGTTTGAGGGCTCTGCACTATTCCTCCCCTGCATTCTCAGTGAGAATTTTGAGTAGGGAGGTGCTCACCGCAATGGCTGGCTGTAGTGCATGAAAAGTTGTCGATATTCTGCATACTGGGGTAGTCTGTAATGAGTTGCTCTGCTAATCCAAAGGTGGCATCTCTCTGCTGGTTCAAATCCACCAGCAGCTCCATGGAAGAAAGATGAGCAATCTCCCATGCAATTTACAGCCTCTGGAAACCTGCTAGAGGGTCAGTTATAAGTCAACTCCAAATTCATGACAACGAAGACTTTGAGATAAAGGAGGTGAAGACAAAACCACCTATCTTTGTTTCATTTTGTTTTCCCATGAGTAGTCTGAATATACTGCATTTATCCCCTTTTCAGGGTATTTCTGAGTATCATAATGCTGAAATAAATGCTCCATCTCCAACCCTCCCTCAGGAGCTTCCACCATCCTCTATCTAACTCTGTTTTTTCTTCCAAACCATCAGGGCCCTCCCACAGTAGGAATATCTTGCAATCCACCTGAGATTGTCCTCACTGGGGATGCCAGTTCACCAGAAGACAATACTGATAAAAGCTTGGCAAACAGGTATGGACCCCATGAATCCTGAGCCTTGTGTTGTGAAGAACAAAATGTTCTAGAACATGTAAGTCAAACAGCCATATGCGTACATGTGTGTGAATGTTGTTATGTGTAAATGAGTTGGAATCAACTGATAGCTGATGCTCCAGCAGGTTTTCAGAGGCAGTAAATCCCATGGGAGACAATTGCCCATCTTTCTCCCTCGGAGCAGCTGCAGGGTTTGAACCATCTGCTTTTGGATTGACAGCACAATTCCTTATCTACTAGGCCATGGTAGATTTATCTTTTTTTTTTCTTCTTCAATGTACCGTCAAATTGGATCCTACTGGCACAGGAGGTGATTGCCCCTCCTTCTCCAGCAGAGCATCTGATGGATTCAAACCACCTTCGGGATTGCAGTGCAGCTTTTGCCACTAGGCCAGCAGAACTCCAGATTGATCATTTTTGTTGAGAGTATATAGATACATATTTTTTCCTCTTTCTTGTATTATTATATTGATGGAAATACAATCAAGTAGGTTTTCAAAATAAGAGGAAGAATTGGGATTTTTCTATTACTGTTTTTCATTTCCTGAATTTGTCCTTATGTATCTGCAGATCATTGAGAAAAGCAAAAACCAAGCAGAGGTTTCTGTCCCCCATCCCCAGGTATTTGCAGACAGACCTGTAAGTGTGAGTCTTGGAGTAGAATCCTGATCCTGGTCAAAGTAGGGCCATGGAGAAGATCCTTGGGAAGGGACTTAGGCTTACTGCCTCAGCTTTCAGCAGCACAGGCTAGGGCAGCTGCCAAGCTAGAGTGAAGTGGCCAAAACATAAGTTTCAACAAGATAAAAAGATCATTTTCATACATATGTCAAACATGTATTTAAGTCGCTAGCGAGAGAACTAGCTGGATAACAGAGTCAGTGGGCTGTAAGAAATGTGTGTGTGTATCATACATATAATCAGTGGTCAGGAAAACAATGTTGGAACAAAAGTGCTCAATTAGATGGCCAGCGCTTCTCCCATCCCAAAGTCATCAGCATTTGTACCAGATATGAATCATTTACATCTTAGGAGAGTTTTTTAATGAGTTAGAGATTAACTCAGACTCTGGGTCCTAATAAATAGTAAATAATGAGCAATGTCAGATTATCTGATAAGCAAGGAAGCAGAGGCTTATTTGTACTTACTTACTAATGTGTAGTAAAGAATTTCACAGTTTTATTACATCAGAAATTCTGCTTCTGTGTATGGCTGGCATCTGTCACTCTCCTAAACCTGTAGCACCTCCCACAGAAGCAAAGCATCTTTCCAAATAGGGAGTGCTGGTGATCTGGTGATAAGGAGTTGTACTGCCAAACCAAAGGGACATGGTTTGAATCCACCAGTTGCTCCATGGGAGAAAGATGAGCAGTTTCTTCCTATGCAATTTACTGTCTCTGAAAACCCACTGGAGGTTCAGCGATGAGTTGGTCCTGACTCTACAGTATTTAACAACAGCAACAGGGATGAAGGGAGCTCTGGTGACTTAGTGGTAAGAAATTATGCTGCCAACAAAAAGGTTCATGGTTCAAATCCACTAACTGCTTTATGGGAGAAAGATGGGTAGTCACCTCTCATGAGATTTACTGCCTCTGAAAACCCACTGGAGGGCCAGCTGTGAGTCAGTTTCAACTCCATGGTATACAAGGACAATGACAATGACAATAGAATGGAGTCCTCAGGAAGCAGGGTAAACATGAACTTACTCTTCTACAGTGAGCAGTTCCATATGGTTTTCGTGACATTAAAGATGTAGCAAAACTCGGACTTTGCTTATGAGGGGACAGTTCACCCCTCATAAATCAGTTTCATCTCTTCAGTTGCGTTTACGAGTGCTGCCAGCTAGAGTAGTGGTGTACAAATATTACTGTCCATCGGAAGTCCCTTGAGAATTGGCTGAACCATAGATGCAAGGCCCCAGCCCCAGAGTTTCTGATAAGTAGGTCTGGGATGTGGTTCACTGGCCTTAAATTGGTCATGACTCACAGCAACCCCATGCACAATTAAAGAAATGCTGTACCACCTCATATCATCCCTACGATTGCATGTGCATGCTACTGCTATTATCTATAGGGTCTTCATTGGCTGGTTTTTGGAAGATCATAGAGACCTTTCTTCATAATGTGTGGGTGCACTTGGGGTGCACTGATGGGGAACTGGAAACCAGCATTCTGCATGGAAAGAAAGAATTCTACCACTGAACCACAGATGACCTCAGCCTAAGAATTTGTATTTCTAACAAGTGCCATGCTGAGAATCAGATGACCCTTAGACAAAGTTCGAAGTAGTAACATATAAGTGTCTTTTTTGGTCTTATTTCCAAGTTTTAAATTTTTTTTTTAATCAAGATGGCTATTTTCATTTCAGAGCTCACAGTCCAAATAGGAGGCTTTCTCACCGACACCTGAAGGTTTCCACCTCTTCACTGACTTCTGTGGGTGAGGACTAGACCCATTAATCTTATTTCTGCAACCAAAGATGAAAAGTACATTTGGGTAGGAAGACTGTGGTCTGGCAGCCTGGCCAAGCACAGGTTCTCTCCCGTCTCTTAGTCCACGGCAAGCCCGAACTCACAAGCCCAACAGGGGAAACTGCCAAGCCTGTCAAGTCTGAGTCTGTAACAGAGTGGTAGCTAATTCAATTCTTCTGGCAAAAAGGATAAAACCAGGCATGAAGGAGAAGATGAGGGCACAAAGAGAGGCATGAAATAGAGCAGCTGATGAGGTTCAGGGGGCAAGGCCTCCACCTCTGGTTGTTGTTGGGTGTGTGGTCTCATATCCAGGCAGGAGTGTCTTAAGCACAAAGCTGGCGACCCTACTGTCCGTTTTCTCAGGGCTTGATGACACAGTGGTTAAAGTCCTCAGCTAACAACTGAAAAATTAGCAATTCAAATCCACTAGCAACTCCATAGCAAGAAAGTAGGTAATCTTTGCTTCTGCAAAGATTTACAGCCTTGGAAACGCTATGAGGCAGTTCTGTACTATCCTGTGAGTGTGCCGTGAGTTGGAATGGGCTTGGTGGGAGTGGGTGGGCCCTGGGGCAGCCATAGGGACGTAGAATGACTTGGTTCCTGCCTTCATGGAGCTTATCCTCTACAAGGAGCCTGAGAAGTAGACAGATAAAATGAGGAGAATATATTGTACAAAAACAGTCTATTGTAAAAAAAGCTGTTAAAAAGACCCAAATAGAAACTTGTAACATTGAAAAACACACAAACATTTGTACAGTATATTTATATTAGCAAAAAAATTGGAAATAAGCCAATACTCTATCAAGTGGTGATTGGCTAAAAAGTTCAGTGAAGTTTTGAGCCTCCTAACTTGTATAAGTGATGAGTTACAGATGGGTTGATAATATGACTACTTTATCGGTAAGGGTCTCCAGGTCAACCACAAGTATGATAAGACTTCTTGCCTGGCTATTTCTCTTCTGCAGTAATTTCATCTACTTTGTCCTACTTTTCAAATGTGATTCTTTTCTACCTATCCTATGATAAGAAAAAGATTGAAAAGCACAGTTATTAAAGGTAAAAATGATAGTATTTTAATTGCATTTGGGTTGGTTTGTTGTTGTTGTT